TACTTTTGTCAAACGTTGATTGATATGTATTACTTTTCACTCTTGAATGTTTTGGCTACACCCCTCATTTATTGGGCTGGGTTTGTATATGCGGGTCTGTATATACATATATGAATGCGACTTATGTATGTGATGGGAATGTTTTGTAATCCTGGCATGTAAACACTGTTCAATGGATGACATATTTGATTATTAATTGCTTCTGTTTTAGGCCCCGATGTTTTGTAAGATGTTTTGAGGCCCATCTTCGGGACGGTCATGCCCAAACTTTTATGGGCGAGTTTAGGGCGTGACACTTTCTCTCTTTTCTTGTTTTTCTTATTTTATGTGATTTATTTTTATTTTTATTTTTATGTTAGTTTATTAAATTTCTAATTGATAAAGTGACAGGGCATATTTCATATATGGAAATGCTGCGTTTTTCGATACTGTGGACATGATTAAATTAATTTTCAAGTTGTGGGATTATTTTGAAACCAACCTACGGCTCTATGAACAAATCGTGAAGTTTGACAAAGATCCGATTGAAATGACGGGATGGATGGATCAGTTAAACTATGCCAAATTTGCTGATCTATGTGACTGTTTCGACTTTAATAGCCATGTGTATAAGCAAACATACGGCCTTGTCAAATTTCACAGGAATTTTCTTATTCATTTTGCTGACTATAGGACGGTGAGTGTAGTTAATTAAATTATTTTTTATGCTCTAATTATTTTGGTTGTGTTAATTGTCTGTTGATATTTGAATCTCTAGTTGTGTGGTGCTCGCCGAGTCAAAGACGCTATGGAATGTCTCTTATTTGCGATACCGAACTTTGTTCCAAAGTTTTCTTACATTGCTTCAACTACAGTCAAAGCACATGAAAAAACATTTATGTAAGCTAATCATATTTTTTTAGTTGATTACGATTTTAATTCAAGATTTTTCTTGTTTTTTAATAACAAAAACTATTTGATTTTTAGTGAGGTAGATTTGGACACCGGGAAAGTTGTTAGCGACGAGTTGGTTGGATTTCTTCGGTTCGGGAAGGGATGCACTGCCATGATGCCTTTGGATATGACATCCTCTGTCTCTCTTTCCCCCCCTAAGTCTGTTTTTTTGTGTTTTGTGTTTAGAAATACCACAATTACAGTTTTAGGTGAACCTCTACTTTTGAGAACAATTTTTATTTTTTAGTTCATTCCTATCTCTATCTATGGAATTTGAAATGGGTTAGTATGACTAATTTTGCTTGGCCAATGGCCTGTTTTTTTGTGCCTTGAGTTTACAATCACCAGCATTACTGTTCAAGTGAACCTCTACATTTATGAACAAATTTTATTTTGTTTAGTTCATTTCTATCTATCTATCTATCTATCTATCTATGGAATTTGCAATGGGTTAATGTTTACTTAATATGGCTAATTTTGCTTGGGGAATGGGCTGTCTATGTAGAGTTTTTTTTTTTTTTTTTTTGGGGGGGGGGAATGATCTTAAAAAAAAAATGTAAAAGGCCCAAGAATGAAGAGGCTGAATATGATAACCATCCTAACCCGTAACCCGACTGTGACTGACCCATCAGATCAAACTGATTGACCTGCACGGGGTAGACTAGGGGATGAAAGACATTCAGATTAGTAGACTATGGATGGGTCAAGACACAGAGTAAAGTCTCCATCATTTGGCTCCTTCCAACGAGTCGCACATACACCATAGTACATGTTCCTCAATGCCGAGGGCATCCCCCAAGAGCGGGGGATTTGGGCATTTGTTCGTTGGTCCATCCAGCCCGTCCAACTTAGTCCTATTTTTCAGGATTTGAAAAAAATATTTTGGCCCTTAAAGCTAGACTAGGCCAACATTTTGATCCATTTGATAAATAGGTTGGGCTTGCAAATTGAATTTCACAACCCAACCCAAAGCAGTCTAGGATTTCACTTTTCCAATCCAATCACTCTTCTCCCCATCAACAGTTGCACCTCTTATTATTTTTTGTTATTTCTATTTTTTGCTGGGAGGTTGCACAACCCTTATTTGCAGTAACTGTTTTTTTTTTTATTTGCAGTAACTTTTTTTTTTTTTTTTTTTTTTGGCCTCCTGCAATTCTGTCTATTGCCTATGAATTCTCCTTCTTTTTAAGGACTTCATTCATATTTACTTGGGTTATTCATGACTTCTCGGGTATGGAATTGAGATACGTTCTTCATTTAGTTGTTAAATTAAATAAAGCACTTGGACCTTTCTATCTTAGGGGTGCAACATACCCCAGTAAGTCAAACATTGAACTAATCTGACCTCTTTGTGTTGGTTTGGTTCGGTTTCTGAGTGTATCAGTTTTGTTTGATTTCTAAGTGTATTGGTTTGGTTTTGGATCTTGAAATCATCAACTCGATAAGATTAGATTCATCTTGGTTTAGGTGTTGCTCAAATCAAACCAACTTGAGAACTGAACCAATATTTTGTATAATTCTATGTATATTGATTTGTTTTCATCTATTTTGTTTATTAAAATAGGTTTGATTGTATTTAATTTTTTACCTAAAAGAAATCTAATTGAATTTAATTTGTATTGCTTGCATTTAAGCTTGAGTTGGATTTCACTAAACAAATAATGTATCTCAATTCCATAGTTCTTGGTCATTAAAGACTTGTTTATTTTAATTATTTTTTATTTATAGTGGAATGTCAAACCAACTCGAACTATATTGAGTTGGGTTTGGGTTCGTTCAATGGATGATTGTAAAATTTTAAAATTGATCATGACTACTTATTTTAAATTTAGTACAACTCAAATCAAATCAACTTATGGTCACTCCTAATCTATTTTTCTTATTTGTTGACAAGTGAGATTTTTTTTTTTTTTTTTAAAAAAAAAATTGCATAATAAATTTTAATCAAAATTTTGAATTAATTCCTTGACCAATATTTTTGGAGCAGCCATGTATACAAATAAGCTATCAAAATATAGGACATATAGAGCAAAAAATTTAAAAAAAACATTAATAAAAATAGCAGTAACAAATAACAAGAAAAATAAAAATTTGACTGAGTCAACCATTTAGGCGAGTCTTTAAAAATTTTCTTGTATTCTTATTCATGCAACACTTCAAATGTGATCAACTATGCATCTCCTCTTTTGGAACATTCAGAGACCTTTCTTGAGATTGTCCTGAAATTTGCACTATTTCAGCTTCTCTCAGTTGGAGAGAAGTCAGGACTCGTCCAATATGGCTCGGTGGGCCACCTTTGAGCCCACATCGATCATAACTTCTAAAATTCTTTGTCTTTGCAATTCAACAATATTGTTCATAGTGCAGTTGCAAGTCCATATCAGTAGATTAATGAAAGGTAGGTGGTATTGATCATGCTTCCACTTGACTTGACTAAGAAAGTATTCTTTTGTACATCTAAGTAGATGTGAGAATGTGATATAGAAAAAGAGAGGAATTTCATATATCAACAAAGAAAAGCTCAAGTAACAAATTTCTAGAAAAAAAAAAAAAAAAACAGTTAAGATTGCTCAAGATATCCTGCAAATGCTACTAGTGATAACATAGAAGGCATGTCGCATGATGCTGCTCCAAGAAGTTCACCTTGATCATGATCTCTTTGATGGTTTTGGTGGTTGATTTGACATATTCCAAGTACTGCTTATTTTGAAGCTGTGAATGAGTTTCTTTGGCCTTGACTTCCTTCTCTGTTTGGGTTGTTCAGTTTGGAATGAGTATTTGATGTTCCACTTCAAAGTTCATCTATCTTTTTGTGGGGAATTGTTATGACTGAACAAACAAAAACGAGAAAGTAAAATAAGCCCACGTCCACATGCGAAGAAGGACAGGGGGTTTTACTATCAAAAGAAGGAGAAAATACAAAAGAAATGGTTGTCTCTCTTCAACATCTGCATATCAAGAAACTTGGTCGGATTAGTTGGGTAGAGTGGGTTGCAAACGGGTTATAAACACGAACCGGGTAGAATATGAGACATCCCCCAACATGAACAAACAAAATCATGAAGAAATGAATTCCCTTGCAATATGTCATTGTGCTCACTGTCTTGTCAAGCTTCTTGAACTTATTGCATTGCATTTTTCGACATTACCATTGATACAAGAAGGTGGAAATCTGCTTTCCTCACCGTGAAGAGTCGTTGAATTATTACCAGTGCCATATATGTATTCATGAGCTGAACAAAAAATTGTAACTATGCCTTCTATACTATGAAAGTCATTAGTGATTGGTTTCTTATGGATAAAACTTAGTGAGATGGAGTACATATGTGTACTACAGTATAAGTTTTTGATTGGCCTACCATGTGTTTTTTGTTGGCTGGGATTTCCTCTTGTTTTGTTGTTTGGGTTATGAAATTCATTTTTATCGAGCAAAAGATGATAAAGAAAGATTAAATTGAAAAATGGAGACTCCCGGTTGTTTGATAGGGGCATAAACTTCATGACTGGTCAGATCCATAGTTGAATTTCATGATTTGTGCGGGATTCAAGTTGTACACCTCAAGCGATTGTGCCTTCGACAATTTATGGGAAGTTGGTTCTAGAAACATGGTTCATGTAATGGCTGAAACAACCCGGATGAGGTACAAGTCTTTATCAACTGCCACTTCAGGTAAATTTACATTTGTCTTTTAGAATGTCTCTTTGCAAAATAGAGTTATGCATCACTAATGCCAACACATGAAACAGATTGCTATATCAAGTCATTGTCAAATGCCAAATCTACTATTTCTGGCTTGGCCATAGAGTATATTTGTAAATCAGCACTGATATCCATGTTATTTCTGTTTTGCCAAGCTGTTCGTTCACTAAGGGTTTATAGTTCCTTCTTACTTGTAAGTTGTAGGTCATCATGTTACGAAAAACTTAATGTTAATTATTCTTTTGCTTCTCTTACTTTTTAGGCATGTAGCAGTAAGTGTGCAACTTTTACCTTGACTCATTAATTTTAAATTCCTAGACCGGAGCACCAAAATTCTTAGACCTCTGGTTTGGTCGGGAATACAAAAAGGAAGATAAATTAAGAAGCACACAAAAAAAAGTAAAGAATAGGACAGGTTGAACAAAACATATTTCCAAAATGCGTGTTGCAAATATAGGAAAACTGTACAGTAAGCTGTAAATAGAATATGTTTCTGATGCAATCCCTTACTGAATCCAAGGTGAGACGTAAACTACTTACCCCATACATAATTCAATCAATATAACATTTATTTGTGGAATAAGTAGTGGACATCTCACTAGGATAAGGAGGTGAATCCCAGGGCAGATTGGAGGGTTTCCATGCATCAGGAAGATTTGAAGGCAAACTGAAAGGAAAACCAATCGATCGAACGCTTCCCCATTGATTATTACCATGTCCTGCACTTGGAATTTTCCTCAAACCCATGTGATCCTCTTCATTGCCTATGCTTCCTTGCATATCTTGTGGTGAACTGGTAGAGAAACCATTGAACTGTAGTTGTTGCCCTTCAAAGTCTATACTCTCGGAGGTCTTGTTAACATCCCCGATTAGAGCAGGGGACAGATTAAAAAGCATTGAATTAACATCATTTGTATTCTTGGTGGTGGGTTCGAGAGGTGAAAACATGAAGCCGGAGGGAAGATCTCCATTTGGAACGGAAAAAGGAGATGATTTGCCGAGTGTTGGATTCATGGGTTTATATGAGGGGATATCTAGAGCAGAAAAACTGGCAGTAGAGACCTGATGTAAGTCATTATTGCTGCATAACTGGATGGTTGATCCAATTTCAGTTGTGCAGGACATGGTCTCTGAAAAACGAGTAGAGTGTGCACCCTGGGTGAATATATCAGAAGCTGTTGTTTCTGGTATTGGAGATATCCAAGAATGAGAAAGGGCTCTCTGTGCCATGGAAGTAGTTTTCTTGAATATCCTACAAATTGCCCATGAATCCTGTGGATCAAAAGAGAAAATAACGGTTTAATGTGTGATCGATCTAACTAATAATACTCCACATAGAAGTGAAAAACTAGAACATCGGGTTGTGATAGACTTACATTTGGAGGAAGGTTTTTATCAAAAATCTTTTTAGGCGATACTGGCTCAGAGATAGAAGGTAGTCGGAACTCATGCATCATCCAGTCAGTTTTGATTCCTTTAGCAGCTCTGCCCCTGTAGAACACTAGGGATTTTTTCAAACCAATGCACTTGGTGCCATCAGAGGAGTAAATTGGCCGATCGGTTCCAGTGGCCTTCCAAAAACCAGCTCCGGTGACACGGTTTGGCCGTGCACTGTTCCTGTATTTACGATCCCTGGGGCAGTAAAAGTACCACTCTTTTTCCCCAGTAGATGCCAGGTCTGATGAAAAATTTTAGAGGAAAAGGAAGTAAGTTGTATTAGTAAGGAATGATTGCTATAAAATGCTAAAAATATAGTTGTTGAGTTTTAGGATTACAAAAGGTTTCCTCGAATGGTTTCAGTTGATAAACATGTAGAACAATGATAGCATGGAAGTTCAAGTGAATACATTACTTCAATATGTAAACAGTTTCAGAACATGACAACTGAATCCTCCAATTGTAGAAGAGTTTTAGCAGATTCAGTATCTTATCTGTGATTGCAACATGTAATAATATTCTGTAGAAGGAAACAATAATTAAACTTATTTTGTTGCTATAGGAAGCACAGATTAAAATGAAAGAGAAGAAAATTGTCTATTTCTGTAAACTAGCCCAACCATGAAGCAAGTAATTAAACAAAAACAAAAAACTTTAAAGAAGAAGAAGAAGAAGAAGAAGACACTGTGTTTTCATAATCAAAAAACTTCATAAAACATGATGATGCATGAGAGATGGATTATCTTACTTGGAAGATCCCAAGGATCATATTTGTAGATATCCACTTGCTTAATTAGTTCTATAGGAAGTGCTCGATGCTGAATCTTCCTTATCAGGTAGAACCCAACAAGCTCTTCATCTGTGGGATGAAACCTAAAACCTGGCAACATGACATCATCCATCTTATCACTCTCACTTTTCTCATCCATACTTTTCTTCCTTGTATCTCCCAGAACCAAAGAAATCTAGCTAGATGTGTATCTTTGAACTGAACTGATCATGTATGTATATTTTCTACCAATCTGAAACTTGAAGCAAGTTTTGTACCAAAACAAGAAACTTTTTGGAATACCAAACCAGGCCCACTAGTGAAAATATCAAGGTTTGTTGTTAATGCTGTGGTGGAACAGCTTAAGATGTTAAACAGTTGAATGGCATGAACTCAAGAGTGAGTTCACAGCGTACAATCACTTGGGTCAAAGCCACTATATGCTTCCTGAAGAGGGGTCTGCCTCCGGAGCTTCAGCCGCCCTTTCTGGTCAGTTGTAACAGAGAGTGTGTCTGCGAAAATCACGTTAATTTAATGAGAAACTTAAACTAATTAAGCTCTCTTAAAAACAGCTACCAAGGAACACAAGTCAAAGCCATGGACTTCAAATCGACCTCACTTCCCTCTATGAGCCCATTTGGGTTCGTTTAAATCCAAATTTGTGATCTCAAGTGACTTCAAACTCATCTTTTATGGGGATATTAAAATCATACTGATTTCCCACTTCTCATGTTCATGTATGCTCCTCCTTATATCTTCTTCTAATCAGTGCTAACTGACAAATCAGTCTTATCATGATGATAGTTTTATCACATACAATAAAATAATCGTTGTTGAATTGTTTTTTGCTAACCAAGTTTCAATACAATACCTCAAATTTATATTCAATCTTGAGATTCTCTCATTCCTGTTGGTATTCCTTTGAGATAAATATCATTAATTCTTGAATTCAAAAAAATGCCACTTTCTATTCCATTCTTCTCAGAGCTTCTATTCCTTGGCTGTCTCTGTCAGATATATGAACGTGTGACTTGTGAGCAGTGTGATATTTTGAATCTTATGAAATTTGTCATGGGGACCCTCTTGAGGATATATAATAAAGAATCATTTTGACCCTCGAAAGGACAACAAAAACCTCTCTTTCAGGGATGCTACAATAAAAACAAACAATTCTACCTGTAGATAATTTGTTTTCTGGGTCTGGTTTCTAGGAGAGGGTAATTTTAGCTTCACATTTTCACACATCAAAAAAATAAATAAAAAATTGCAATTCTTATCGCAACTGTGTTGTCCCTAGTGTTTGGGTTTAGTTTGCGTCTTATTATTATGTTTTATGAACTTTTTATGTATTTTAATTGAAGATTTTCTTTTAAAAGTGCCTCCTTTATCTTCTTCCTTATGTTTTTTATTTTTTATTTTTTTTCTACATGAATTGCTATGATAATATAAGTTTGGCTTTTGTGTGAAGTGTGAACACCACGATGCTACTTGAAGACCGGAGTGTTGAATGGAAAGAAAAATTAAACATGATCAATAAGTGAATGATCCCATACCACCAACCATTTTTTTTATAAAAAAAACAAAACAACGATTCTATGCTTCGAGATGGGCTTTGACAAAATTAAAACACTTGAAACTGTTCATCATAATCATAGATACTTATTTCCACATACTTATAGAACACAATAAAATTATTGAAATTTCCTTAAAGACTCTCAAACAAACCCTCATATTGGTTTATTAGGTTGTTAATTCAATTGCACCTATGTTTGAAATATATCTTCTTTCTAATAAAGACCATATGCTACTTCCAAGACAATATGATTGGTCCTCTGGAACTCACAATTTTTATTTATAAAAAGGAAAAAAACACGACTTGCTTTGTGATTTAGGCTGTTCTGCCCTAATTATATTTCTTATATCAGTAAATCTAATCTATTTTGACAGCAAAAATTTCATATATCAGTTTTCCTAGACGCTCTAGATTTGAAATCTAAAGTTAGGCAAACAGTTTACATTATTCTTTTTTCTTTTTCTTTTTTCATAAGCTGGGTGCATAGGCTATTAATAAGTGTTTTAGGATACACCTCTACATGCATAATAAACTGGTGTAGTTCACCAAACTGTAAGAGGGGTGCAGTTCAACTACTTGGAAAAAAAAGTTGACTATTTGACTTTAGTAGTGTTATGCTGACATCATAAATTACCTCTTTGATAAAAAATAAATAAATAAGAAAAAACATGCATAAAGATGGACCAACGGGGTGGCAAGCAAGGACGATCATCACCCCCTCTAGATTTTTTAAATACAGATTATATCTTATCTTTCACTTTCTATATCTGTACATGATGACTTATAATTATATATCATATGGTTAAATACTCAGCATTTCGGGTTGAGCAAAATGTAACTTCTAAAATTTTATTTTAATCATATATCAATTAATGAATAGAAGAATACACATCATCTCAATTCATGTGACATATTTGTTACATAAAATATTTCCCGTGCATGGGAAACCAATTAAAAAGTTAGTGGGGACTATTATGTTATTATATAAGAAAAGGAGGCATGAGTCAATTTCCCCTTAAGTTTATGACATCGGAGAGTGAAATTTCCTGAATTTTTCAATTTCTTGGAAATGCCAAAACCAGGTTCTAAGAAGCCGCAAAACTTCCAAAGGGAATGGACATGGGTGACCCCTTTGCTTGCTACAAATTAGTTTAAATTAAATACCTTTGTGTAAAGACTATAATGCCGTTTCCTTAAATCATCTCAATAAATGAAAATCTTGGGTATTTTTTCTACTTTCATTATTTAATGAAAAATGCTAACAAGTGTCTCGGGCATTGTTTAATATTTAGAGTCGGTGTAAGAAGTGTTATGAAAATAGTAAAAAGAATATTATTTTTTTTTTAAAAAGTTTCAAATCAACAAAAGATATTATGAAATTTGTTGAAAGTATCTTGTGTTCTTTATTATTTATCTTTTTCTTGTGCTCTAAAGACATTTGTTATTGGATCTTTTATTTTCAAATTTTCCTGTCCCGCGTTCTAATATTTTAATTATTATATTATGTTTTGATATTTATGTCTTAAAATTCTCACATAATTTAATAATTAAGAGTAAATTGAGACAAACAAAAACACACAAGTATCTAGAGATCAAGACCTAACTACTTCAATAATTTGAGTAGTGTGGGTGCTCAAATCATAGTCCTTTTGTCTCATTTTGGACATTTGCTTAAGCTTCCTAACCATGTCTGCTAGATGGAGGGCAAGCAACAAACCATCAATGAAAGGGGTGTGAAATTTTTTTGAGTCAAAATTGCCCAACTGGGAACTCCAAATGCAATTCTCCAAACTTTCTTGTCTAGTTTCCGTGAATGACCTAGGGTTTGCAACCCATACGTGCAACCCTAGTTGGAAAATGGGTCAAAATTCTTCAAACCAAAGCTTTCTTACCCTTTTTGTGTGAGACCTTTAATCCCTTAACATCACAACCATGTTCCCAATGTAGTAAATTCACATTCTAATTGTTGACTCATACCAAGCGTCTTCTTACATTAACCCAACAATTATTAGTTTTTGTTGTTGGCTCTTACTAATAAATGTCTCATGTATAAGAAAAAGACAATACAAGTGTAGAACTTAATATACTTTTTATTAATTTTATAAAAATTTTCACTCATTTTAAATCACTTTTTTTTTTACGAATTTCAAAAAACTTTTTTACACTAATCGCAACATTAAACAATACATAGAGGACATTTGTTAGCATTTGTCTTTATTTTATGTCAATCAATATAAAATTATTTACGAATATCAAGAGATTATATAAAACTAGACATTCAATTATGTAAGAAAGTTTAGCAACATATAATTTTAAGTCGAACTCCAACAATAACTATATCAATACAACAAGGAGCCTTATAATAAGAAAGATATAAACAATTAAAAAAAGACCCTTAGTAAGGAACAAGATTATCAATCTTTTACACAGCTAGTAAAGATTGACTCACTAGCCACTCAATGAAGTGTGTACAGGAGTGGGCCAAGTGGCCAATTGAGCTGATCCTGTTAATTAAATTAATCTAACAATTAGTTGGTCCTTAATTTATAGCTATTTTTATGATATTGGAATAAATGAATAAAATGACACATCTTTTTTTTTTTTATAAATTTTATGCATTGTTTTTTTATTTGTATATTTTTACTCTTTTCTCATGAACCATGATGCACTTTTCTCTCACATAACAATTTTTTACTATTTAAAATCCATATGTGAACGACATTTTGGTGGTTGAGATTATAATCTCCCTTTTTTCCCCTAATTAAAAAGGTGTCATATTCTTTGATCATTCTCTAGAAAGAATAGTTGTGAAAGTTCATGTAGGAGTCCACAATAGCAACTATTAATTAACTAACTAATTAACTAATTAATGACATTACCAATATGCTTCATGTAGGAGTCCACAATAGCAACTATTACTTAACTAACTAATTAACTAATTAATGACATTAACAATAATAGGCTATTGACATATGAGGATAATGTTGAGGAAGGCATCACATCACCTAATCACACATCATGGTTTCTACATACTCAACTCACATATGGGCCCTATTAGTTTATTGAGACTTTAGGATAATCTCATTGAAAGGAACCTCCTCTTTGCCATCTAGTGAATTTAATAGGCCTTTATTGCTTTAAAATGATAAAATCAAAATTTGCATATCATTTTGTATTAATTTTATGTATAGTGTTTTTATTTTTAAAAAAATGTTACTGTCACACCATTCTAATCTTAATTTTTGTATGAAACTTCTTTAAGAATAGTATCTAGTAATAATCTTAATTGAGGTCTATCATACAAGAAAAGGTAAATCATTATCATAGAGTTTTAATGCGTTAAAGTAATAAAATCAAAACTTGACGAGTCATTCTGTATTGATTTTATGTATAGTGTTCTATCAAAAATGTCAATGCCACGTTATTTTGATCTTAAATTATGTTTGAAACTTCTTCAAGAATGGTATCTACTGACTTTAATAATCCTAATTGAGTAGTGTCATATAAGAAAAGGTAAATCACTAATAGAGTTTTAATGTTTTAAAGTGATAAAATCAAAATGTGACAAATCATTCTATATTGATCTTATGTGTAGTGTTTTATCAAAAATATCATTAATTAAATTTGAATGAAAATTCTTTAAAAATATCATTTTTCATCTTAATTTTAAACCTAGTAGCTCGTATGTTTTAAGTTACAATTCAAACCCTATACATGGCCACTAGGGATATATCTTCCTGTACCCATCTCAAACAAATAAAAAATATCCCTACATACCAATCAACCTTGGCTTATGATTCATTTAAAATTCTAATAATATTATTTTTTCTTGGAAATTTTTCAATCAAAAAAAAAAGAAAGAAAAAAAAAATACTAAAATTTTCCCCTTGTGTGGTTATGATTGAAGAAAAAGTAGAAATCCATGAAATTGATTGGAATTATTGGTATAGGGTAATATCAGTTTGATTGTGACGTTTGAAGCTTCCCACCCCTAAAGACAACAAAAATTAAAATTAAAAATTAAAAAAAAAAATGAGCTTTAGCTTCACTAATTAAATGTTGATGGACAACGTAGTCATATATTAGTTTTTAAACTCAAATTAATATTATTCTCATTCGGTAATATTTATAAGTTAACTCATTTAACTTATTTAATCAAAAAAGTTTAGTAATGGTGTTTGGTTATAAATTTATATTATAGTTTATTTGAGTTTTTTCAATTTATTGGGTCCAAAAGAATGAGATTTTTTTAAGTTACAATTTATAACTTTTAGAGCTTATTTGAAATCCTTAAATATGTATGGACAAAAAGTTATACTAAACAAATTTACAA